CATTATTTTTATTTTTTATTTTTTTTAGATTTTTTTTTTAAAGTAAAGATATTGTTTTTTGTCATTTTTGATCTATTTTTTCTTTTCCACTATGGTTTTTATTTTTTTGATAACTTTTTCATAAATTTAGTTTATATTTAACAAAAAAATATATAAAAAATAATAATTAGATAGTTGCCACCTGTTTGAAGATTTCAGTTTAAGTAAACTGATTAGATAAAGTAAATGACTGACTTCCAAAACGTGCCAATACAATGTTTAGATACTCTGATATTTAAACTATTGTATATCGTCGTTTAAAGTACAAAACCGCATATCAAGATAATGCAAAACCGCGTATGTGGGGTTGCATAAATTATTTTTTAGAGAGAATAAAAAAACTCATATTTCAAAATGGTTCTCTTTTTTTATAAAGAAATCGCATTTCTAGCTAGTATATTTGTGTGAGCAAATCCAATTTTTGGCAGCAAATGTCAGTTACACGGTTTTTCAGAATGACGAGACACGGGTTTGTATTTTAAACGACGATATGCAGAGTTTCGAGACATTGAATCCATATAAATTGCATATTTTGAATAAATAATATAATATACAGCGGCCGCTGTGGTGTTGCCACTACAGTGCGCGCTTCCACTCCACGGGGCCTGGGATCAAGCCCTGGCCAAAGCAACATCGCAAAAAAAGGTATTGCAAATTTTTTTCTTTACAGCGGTCGCCCCTCGGCAGGCAATGGCAAACCCCCGAGTGGAATTTTCCATTTTTAAAACACCAATTGTAACCAAAAACAAACGAAGCATCAACTTTGTTGATGCGTTTCGGTATTTTTTTGGATTCGTTTTGGAAAAGTATCTATACATTGTCAACATTTTATAGTTCGGAGTTATGGAATACTTTGTACTGATCCAAATCAATTGGCGTTTTGGAAGTCAGCTAATATTGCAATTTGCCAGTCAAAAGAAGGAGGTTAAAGAAGGCTTACAGTTGAAAATATTTTGTGAAAGGTTGCCATCTATTTGAAAATTTTAATTTGACTTAATTGATAAGATAAATTAACTATTGCAATTTGGGTATCAAATTAAATGGGCTTAGGAAAGTTTACAGTCACAAATATTTTTGAGGAGGACTGTCACCTGTGTTAAAAATTTAATTCAATTATAATTTGATGAAATAAATGAAATATTAAAACACGGTTATCAAACTAAAGGGGCTTAAGAAGATTTACTGCCGAAAATATTTTTCTAGTGGGCTGCCACCTATTTGAAACATTTTATTCAGTTTAAGTGATAACATAATTTTAATACTGAATTAAAACACCTTCGAAGAAAGTGCATGATATGTAGAATAGAAATTATATTAAAACTTAGGAAATCGATAATAGTAATGAAATTGATCCACAGTTATTTTTATCTTTCTTATTACAGTTTTTAAGTAAAGAAATAATAATTGCACATTTCAAATTATCTGGGAAAATTCCTGAGTAAATGGCTGCATTGAACAGATGTTTCAAAATGTCTAGCTGATTAAGAGCTACATACGTTTTTACACATGCACTTACATACTTTTATTTTTGGTTCGTAATTTAAAGTTGCTTAACCCAAAATACTAGAAAAATTAAATATGTACCTATGTACATATGTACATTAGACCGCATTACGATATATGTGCCGAAAAAAAGTTAAATTTGTTCCAAGCGAACACTCACTGAGAAATTATTTCCGGAAAGTAAAAAAAGCATCCTGTAGAAACAACTAAATCGGGGTTTCTTCACAATTTCTATTCCTTAAATCCTTGAAGGTCTGAACTGAAATTCTCACTTATGCCTGCCTAATCTTGAAAAATGGCCAGAATGGCGCGAGACGTGGCATTTTTTCTCACTTGTACAGCTCTACATACACATGGTCGTACAAATGTATAAATATATGTGCAAGTGCGTTTAGAGTAGATAGATATTATAGATATGCACATATTGTATCTTTGGCTTATATTGGATTTATTTAGCAAATAACAGAATCATAAACTTGACGAATGTACATGACAGCACGTTCGCAAACTTCTCTGCGACTGAAGAAGAATCTTTTTCCACTAATATTAATAACTTTCTTTTTTACATCTGTTTTCATTGTTATTTGGAGTTTGTCATGCGGGTAATATAAAAGGAAATCCCGCGATAACAGATAGGGATTTATGTTAGCGAATTGCCAGGCATATCTAATAATATAACACGCATACTGAGGCATCTATCTACGTATTAACATACATATGTACATTAATAGGTATGTATGTATGTACATTAGGGTGATAAAACAAGAAGTAAAGTCGCAATTTTAATGCTCTCACCCACTAGGATTGTTCTGCACCAAAAAAAAATATATCCCTTTCACTCAAAGTTTTCCATGTATTTTATAGGATACACAAGCAACATAACATAACATAGGAAACACGGAGCCGAACATTAGATACCCGGCGCCAGTACTAAATAAAGTTTTTTTACGCCTTTTCGAAAACTACCGCAACATGGTAAGCAGGGGAATATAGAAAGATTTTGCATGGGGACATGAAACTACTTTAAATACTTGTACGTTACCCACCAAAAACTGATTATCGCAAAAAATTTATATAGCGCACTGTGCAAGTGGACTGCACATATAAAATACACGGAAAACTTTAAGCGCTTTGAGCGACTTCTAAATATATTTTAATTTCAAAAGAAATAAAGTACAAGTAATTTTTTTTAGCAAAAAACACCACCGACTTCGGTTCTCATATAAAAATTTCCTATAGAAAAAGAATTATCGAAATTGGTTGACGTGGTCAAAAGTTATCCGGTAACATATTTATATTAAAAAAAAGTAAAATCCGACGAATCGATAACCTTCTCCTTTTTTGAAGTCGGTTAAAATCAGGGGTATTTTTTCGATATTAAACAATCCTAGAGGGTGTGAGCATTAAAATTCCGACTTTAGTTTTTTTTTTATCACCCTAATGTACATATCTAAATTTGGCCTTTATTCATTTTTTGCGGTTTTTTAATATTGTGTTGATTCAAACAGCAGACTCATTGTATGTAATTGCATACAAGCATATTTATTTATGGTTTGTACATATGTATTTGCGTATTACTACCAGTGTTGCCAGGTCACTGAAGTGAGAAATCGTCAGTTTGGTTCTCAAAAGTCGTCATTTGCATGTAAAATCGTCAACATATAAAAATTAAAATAAACGGAACCAGGAAGTTCTTTTGATTTTTTCTGACTGATATAGGTAAAAAATAAAAAGTTTAACTCTCATACGAATTTTTCAAATTCACATTACTTTAAAAAAATATATTTTTAATTGCAAAAATCGCATTTTCATTTCATTTTTAGATCATTAACGCTCGGCTGCACTAATCAAATTTAAATTTATCAGCCTGTTAAAATTTAAAATTACAGAATTTTATTCGGAAAATTAAAGATTTTAAATTTTAACAGTCTGAGAAATTTAAAATTGATTGGTGAAACTTTGGAAAAGTCGTATAATATTCGATTTTGTCACAAAGTCCCTAGTACATGTAATGTGGAACGATTCTCCGTCATCCCTTGTCAAATTTGGTTTGGAGACAAACCGGTTTCGGCGTTGTGCCATCTTCAGTGTCATTTTTCGTTCTCGACGGAAAATCGTTCCACATTACATCACACTCCTATCCTATCGGAAACACCAACACCGAAATTGAGAATATTAATCCCTAGTACATATTAAGTTTTACAGCTTTCTAGAAAAATCACAAGAATTTGTTTCATTAGTTTTGTTGCTGGAAAAAGAATTTTGCCGTTGGTGTAAATTTTGTTGAGATCGTCAGACTGATTTAATTAAATTTTATAGAAGAACATTGCTTTCTCATTTCTTGAGTGTGATATTAAATAGAATTTTTCGATTTTCTTGAGAACTGTATACTGAGCCTTAATCAGGTACAATTTTTAATTCTACATTTCATTTTTGAATCTTTAAAGTACTATATCGGTGTTTGGATAAAACTCAAAACAAGAACAACCATTTCCTTTCAATAAGTTTCGTATGAACAAAACTCCCTCCAAAAACGAGTTTTCTTGCAAAGCAGCATCTTCTGGCTCGACAGCTGAGGTAAGGATAACGCCAAATATTTGCCAACTGCAACTTTTCCATGCGCATTAAAAACTGTTCATACTTACAAACTTTGCTAAATACCTTATCCATAATTTCCTTCTCTCAATAAAATATACATCAGTACACAATGGAAAACCTACGAAACAACACAAATAGGGATGAAACAAAGAAGAAAACTACTTATCGATACGACAATTATGTATTAGCAGAAATGGTAAACAAGTGTTTGCACTGCAAATTTTTAGTTGTCTGTTAAACTATCTTCAAAGTTCAGAACCATTCAACTTTGCACATAAAAAAAAATATCATTGGGTACAAAAAAAATCCTCATGACCGTAAAAAATCTTCAAAATGATGAACAAATCGTCAACCTGGCAATACTGATTGATTTGATAAAACACCCTTTAATATTGCATTTGAAAAAATGTGGGCTAGTACCTACTTTGTTAGCAAAAATTTATATTGTAAAACTTCTCTAGACTATAGATTGCTAAGTTCACGGCCCCGATATTGAAGCTGACGATGTCGCTGTCGTCTGCATTTGAATTTATTTATTTATTTGGTAGTATGTGTTACAATTTTCAAAAGCAAACTGAATGAGTCCGTGGCGATAGTGAATGGCTTGTCTTAAACCTCGGTTGGTCTCGTATTGCCCTTTCCCACCCTAGAAATATTTGTGTAGAAAAGGATCCGTTCGTAGACAGCCTCGGAACGGACCGACCCGTTTCTTTCGGTACCAAATCGATGTGTCCAAGGATAACCGAGCTCACGTACGCCGAGTTGAAGAAAAAACGTCTTAGGGTCAAAACATAGTGGAGTGGCGTGCAAAGCGAAGAGCTAGCATATCGCTAGCTTATAGTGAAAAGTTGCTAAGTCCCAATTTAAAAACTGTGCAGGAAAGGAAAAAAACTTCTTATAGCAATTATCCTTTAAGTACTTCGTAAAACTTTGAATACAATGGGCCTCATGCATAAAAAGGTAGCTTAAGCTCCGACTCGATTTGCAGTGCAAATTCTTGAGTTTGAGCTCACCCTTTCAGTGCAAAAATTTAGTCTGAGCTTAAGCTCACTTTTTATGCATAAAGCCGAATATTTTGCCTGTTTAAAGCAAAGCAAAACTCCATACAAATCAGGCGGATTCGATCTATTTTGGCCTTATCGAATTTTCAGAGCTTTGTTTGGACTTAACAAATTTTCCTTTCATTCAATATAAACGAGAAAACATTAAACTGGGACCCTTACCTTTCCGAAACGATGAATTTAGCCTCCTGTATTAAAATATGAGTTTACATAAAAAGTGAACTTAGAGTTGGAGTGGTTCGCTGCTTTCAATAAGCGAGTCTGTTTGTACGCGCTCTACCTTCTTAACTAGGGTATACTTTTCTGGGTAATTTCACCAGACAATGACCCGGTGTAACATAATTGGCTTCATTATAGTTTCATTCAGTCAATAGTTTTATTAATGGTATTTGTTGATTTTTTCGACAGGCTGTGAAGATGATTTATGTATTTTGGAAGGAGTTTCCGAAATCCCTTGTGAAGTTGGTTTGGAGACAAACCTCAATATTTGCCTTCCAAAGGTTTTATAGAGTGGTTTGCCTCGCTTACTTACAACTCAGAGCCCTACCGGGCTATATCATCAGGGGTGGTGTTCAGTGAAACTGCACGACATTTCCGTATAATCGCTGATTCTATTACTTCCTAAGCCGCATGCCTATTTTTTTATTTAATTTATTATTATAAAGCATTAGATTAGTACAATAAGATCCCAAAGATCTTCTTTAGTACAACGGGAACTTAAAATTAAGATAAGAATAAGAATTAACACTAAACAGTAGGTGGTAAATCATGTCAAACATAGCCCGACAAATCGACGTAGATAATGATTTTTAATGCCAGAGCCATGCCTGTCTGCTGCTTTCTCTGTGGCATACGACTAAGTTGGGTTGACGCTTCAGACTTTTGGAAAATACTGACTTATCTTCAGGTGCTTAGTGCGGCGATAGTTCCCAAGCAGTTATACCCTTTTTTGGTTAACTTTGAGTTGTTCAATTCTTATCGAAAAAAAAAATCGTATTTCTTCCTTATCCTTATACTTATCCTCACCCTTATCCTGATTTGGTCTTTGCCTATAGCTTAATATTTTTCCCTTTCTCTCTCTCTCTCTCTCTCTCTCTCTCTTGCCCTCTTTTCATTTCAGCTCGCCAGTTCAATGCAATTATTCCCTTGCTATCCGCCTATTCCCCACATTCTCCCTTCACCGATGCCCTTAACGTTTAACACAAACATCTCCGAAGTCGTCTAAAAAGTTTAACCTAAAAAATATTTGATTAAAGCTACACCGTTGAACTCACTAAAAGTCGAATTAAAATTTGTCTATGAAGATCTGAATGCATTCACCCAAAAGGAAAATGATAGATGGATAGAAATGACACAGCCAAAAAAAGTTGTTTTGTTAAAAGTCCATAGACGTGTGCATACGTACACGCATATGTATGTACATCTGTTTGTATGGATGTTTTTACATTCCAACTCTTTCCTTCGGCTTTGTTTAGGCTTTAGAATGACAATGCGTCTTCAGGCGTTTATAAAATTTGATTTTAGAACCATTAAAATTCAATTTAAATAAACATGTTTTCAAAGGAATAAATTGTTACTCGCAATTTGATGCACTTAAATCAATAAAATTCGTAACCTACCATTTTTTATTATTACAGCCTTAAGGCAAACCTAATATGTGAACCTTTCAAATTTATGTACAGTGTTGTGCAAAACAAATGGAACATCCAACGAGTGTTTCGCCGTTTGGTACCCACGGCACGCAGCTACGTACATATCATCAATGGAAAAGGAAGAATCAAATTTTGTTGCATGAGATAAAGGCATTTATGAATGTAGTTACAAAAAAAATAAATAAAAACAATAATGATACTCTAAGCAGTATTTACCATAACCTATGAAGGGTGTTTCCACATGCTTATGCCCCGAAACATATTTTTATAAGTGTTCACATGGTTTATCACAATGGTTAATCACAAGTAAGATCAGAGGGTAGGACGACTTATGGAACAACTTTTTGATGTGGTAAGATCTTTGCTCCCGGTATGGGTCAATTTACGTAATCCGTCATGCGTAAACCAAAACGAATTCAGAAGTAGTATAAATAAAAACAAATCAAATCAGCTGTTCTGGCAACACTGCTCGTTGGTATAGTTCAAGATAATTTCGGGACTAGTTCAGGACTTTTTCGGCATAATTTCGAAGCTAGTTTGGAACCAGTTCGGGTCTAGGTCAAGAATTTTTCGGTTCTAATTTTGGCCTAGTTCAGCACTTTTTCGGGATTACTTCGAGACTAGTTTAGGACTAGTTCGCGACTAGTTTAGGGCTAGTTCAGCAGATACTTAGTACAACGTTATCAAGAATAAGGGTTTCAATATTCAATACTGAAATGTTCCTATAGTTTTGCATAGCTACAAAGGGGAATTTGTTTCGTTTTTTTTCAAATAAACAAAGAAATGCAGTCTATTAGGCATAAACAATTTTTAGCATAATTAACCATGGTAAGAATTATAATACCTACACATTTTTCTTGTGAAGCGTTCCTTTTGTTTCGGGCAACACTGTACACATTCGTTTTTTCTTAACAGTTGGCGGTGTGTTATCCAAACCATGAAACTACATACATATGCTACGGCCTTGGTATGAGTTTTTAGATATGTAAGTATGTATATAAGTTCTTAAGTGCCTTCTTGAAAGCACACATGCTTACGCATGCTTTCACTTTTGCTGACTTGCTTAGTAGAACTGCATGGATTTTTATGACAGCGAAGGAGGTTAGAAAAGTTGAGTTTTTTATTTGTGAATGGTTATCTGTTGATAATGGTTTATTTATTGAAAATACATACGTTTATGACATTTCAGTAATGTAGTATTTGAGGTCAATGTATTGTTGCACTCTTCCTCATCCGTCGTCTGCAAATTCCCATGCTGGTTGATATTTTTGTTCATCTCTATGCATACATACATATTTATATGTGTATATGTGTTTGCAAGCACATTTGTTCGTGAGAATCAATGACATGCTTTTACATACATATGTACATATATTTGTATTGAGTTTGTGTGAGTTTGTAAAAAATTAACATTCTTTTATTTGTGCACTTAGCAAAGGAGCGTAGAACTTCTATATATAATTCAAACAACTATTGACTTATTGATGGTAAATGCCCCATAGGAATAAGGAATAAGCTGCTAGGTGCAAACTACTTACTGTATAACTATCTCGATGAGCTTTAAACGGTGTTCACATGAGGCGATTAGTTGAATCAAAAATTGGCTGCGCCTCTACTTTATTGAGAGCGGTTAGCTGAAAGGCCGTTCACACCAGGCGATTGTTGCTTTCAACCAAAAGTTGCCTGTAAAAAATCGCATCATGTAAACACCGCATTAGAGATGTATTTCAAAAATATAATTTTATTGCTAATCAACCACTTACGAAAAACTAATTGAAAGTGTAATTACAATGAAACCACTACAATCGCTTGCAATTACATCGTGCAATAATTACAGGGTCATTGTCTGTGGGCGGAACAACCGCGAAATCTTTTTACATTCTCAATTAAAATTTGTTTGCGTGACCATATTAAGTTTGCAATTTGTTTGAATAAGTGTTTTTAGAAAAAAAAATGCTGAAATAAGCCAGATAATGATGCAAATAGTGTATTTTCCGGGACAGTTGCTATAACGTAAAAGAAAAAAATATCGCAAACAAGGGTTTACTTTTGATGAGGTGTACATAAAAATAGGGAACAACTGCCCTGCAGGAAATGGGACTAGTTTGTAGCTAACTATTAAGTAAATAGCAGTAACTATTTATTAACTATTTCTTTTAGCCGTAACTAACTACTTTTGAAGGGCGATGGTCGCAAAATAGTGAGAACTGGTTTCCTCTGCATTAGATGTCAACTAGCTTGTAGCTATTATCAATTGAATTGAAATACAAGAAAACACCTTATTCTCATTTTCGTTGTTGGTGTTTCCGACAGGGTAGGAGTGTGATGTAATGTGGAACGATTTTCCGTCATCCCTTGTCAACGCCGAAACCGTTTTGTCTCCAAACCAAATTTGACAAGGGATGACGGAAAATCGTTCCACATTACATCAAAACACCTTATATTTAGCTACG